GCGGGGCTGAGGGTACGGCGGGGGGCTGGGAGGGGCGCATGCTCCGCACCCATCTCCCACGGGTGGGACCCGCCTTCTCCAGCCCCTTTGTCTCACCGCTTCCTAGCCCGGCGCGCCGCTGCTCCTGCGTGGGGGGAGGCAAGGAGCCGCTCAGAGAGAGGCGCCTGCCTGGGCGCACAAGCGCTTCTGGGTGCCAGGGCAGAGTGAGAGTCCGATGCCCATAGGGCTAGAGAGGGGGCATGGTGAAGAGCCAGGGGCCTGATCATCCAGGTACCCGTCAGAGTAACTGAAGCGCCGCTGAAGTCAGTGGTGCTAATGCTGAAAGGAGACTCTGTTCCAGAGCCTGAACACTCCTAATATCACCGAGGTCTAGCTTGGTAACTGCAGGGACACAAGTTGAGGCGTTGGCATGTCCTCGCTGTTAACTAGAAGTAGTTGCTAGTTGTGTGCATCTCCATCAGAGATAGTATTTCGATTAACCAAAGGGCTATAAAGCACTTGTATAAATCTCTGCTGTGTAATATTTGGGATAGTAAACTGATAGGGTTGGACAGAATATACAGGGAAGAGGCCACTTGCTGGATGGATAGGTTGGGATGAGAGATCACCAGTAAAAATGGAAGGTGTAGGTGGACTCTCAAAGTGAACTTTTGTAATGGGGGGAGGAGGCAGGCTTAATGTTTGTGAGGGCTGTATTCAAGGCCTCCTTTCTGCCAAGTGTTCATTGCAGCTTTTCCCAACTTCTTTCCCCATCAGTGTTTTCGCAAACATCTCTGATCCTGCTGATTTTACAATAGCAGCCTTTCACTCCTAATCCTACAGGGCACAAACTGAAGTAACAAAGGAAGAGTTGAAAATACTGATTAGTAACATAGTTCAAAGTGACTTATGCTAATAATTGCAATAATTACAGTTATCTAGCAAAGTAGAATGCTTCATAACTTCAAGTGAACACTAGACTTGGTTTCAACTTCAATTTTTGTAAACTTCCTAGGGAATGTTACATTTAGATTAATTAAATAGCTGATGGGATTTCCATCAACTATTTGATTAGTCTATAAGGGTGCCTCTGCCTTTGAACTGTAGCTAACAGTCCAAAAGCGGAAACCCTGCAGGGAGTGTGGGACCAGTGGGGAACCCCCCATTGGCCCTGAGCCTTTGAAATGTATAAGAGCCAAATCGCAGCAGGAGCAGTGTGAGCGGAGACTGCTTCAGTCCCTGCTTGTGCAATTTCCTGCTGTGCCTCTACCTCCCCTGTCTGTGTCGTCCCCGTCCTTCCCCCCCCCCCCCCCATGGAGACAGTGCTGGGGGGGAACTGGCTTTTAAGTTGGCTTCTCCCAGCATTGGCTCCTGCTCCCTCCCCACTCCCCCTTATAGAGGCAGCCAGGGAGGGAAAACAGCTACTTGCATCGCTGGTCAACTAGTTGCTTACATCCCTAATCCTTTCTCTTTTGTTATCTGCAAACAAACCTTACGCTCTTTCAAGATTTACACAAATATCTCCAAGCAAAAGTGGAAATTAACACTCTTGTGGAAATTAACACTCTTGATCTTTTCATGCACTTTTCTTTTCATTTAGGCTGAGTTTGATAAAGCTGCAGAAGAAGTTAAGCAACTGAAGTCTAAACCAACAGATGAAGAAATGCTGTTCATCTATGGTCACTTCAAACAAGCTACAGTGGGAGATGTAAACACAGGTGTGTATTGAAAAGGAGTGCTAGATTTGTTTTTCAGGATAGAGGAATAAATGGAAGTGCTCAAATATTGGCAGAGGTACTTGCTTAATCACTAGCTTCAGATGTATATCAGTCTTGCAGTAAACTATTCTTTAATAAAATTGAGCTGTGTGTAATGCAACACAGCCTTCACTTCTAGTTTGCAAATCACTAATAAGTAAACAATTGCATTTCTACTTTCTCAGGCAAAAATCTCTCAGATACGGAGAGTGGAAGCAAGTTACTGCACTGTAACTTTCTCAAATAGGAGTTTGAGGGGTAGCAGAGTTAGTCTGTAACAGGAACAAATTAAACAACAAATAGTCTAGTAGCATCTTAAAGACTAACACAACATGTCATGAGCTTTTGTGAGCACAACCCACTTCAGCTGACTGGATAGTAGGAGTGTTACAGTGCTGTCAAGTGCCTGTGTAAACAGGATCCTGTGCTGTTAACCACTTCCTTCCTAGAGGTGGTCTCCCTACAGCTCTGGGAGAGCTCTCTCCAGTGCTCCTGCTGTGATCATACTGCTGCATTAAAGCACTGTTGTGGCAACATTTTACATGTTCAGGTTTAGACCATATCTAGATTTATGGAAACTTAGGGTTACGTCAGAGCAGCAGTACTCCTGTCACATATGTGACAAACTGTGACCGAACGGTCTACAGCTGGGAGCTGGTAGAAGATGAAAGTAATGCTGTGTTCTTACCATTTCATTCTCTGCGTACTCTTTCCACTGTGCATTCTTCACTACTTTTGGGGGGGCGGGGGTGGAAAAAATCTGGCCATAAATTGTATTGCATAAGATTAAGCTACAGCTAGTTTATATAGCTATCAATATCTTAGTTAAAGCTGCCTCTAGTAGACTATAGGAAATGCAACAGAGCTACCTTACTTCTAGATTAATAGGTGGAACTGCCAACTAATGCTACAGGTCACTCCACTGCTGTAAGGCTGGCACAAGGTTAATGCAGGACTGTGTATTTAGCCAGTTTCCTCATACCACTTACCTATGACTGCATGCAATTCCATTAAATTTAATTGGGAACTGAGATTTTTTTACTCATTTGAGAAGATTTAGAGTTGAAAGTTACTCTTAATAGGAAGCCTCTTCCCATTCTTACGTTTGTGCATTATGCCATCTGTTTGGCTACAGTACTTTGCACCTCAAGTGAGTTACAGCTCAGCATCTCTAATACCTTCAAGTTAATATATATTTCCAAGATGTACAGTACTACAGTTTTCTGCTGTGGCTTGTAGGCATGTAAAATCCCATTTAAAATGTTAATCAGCTAACCTATGTTTAACTGGCCTGCTACAGGCTGCTCTAGGTGCTGGTTATACTGGCAAGCATGCTGGAAAGGCAGTGCTTACAGGGTAACTAGGTAACGCTCTCCATCCCTAGTGGTTTGCTCCTAACAAACCTTATGGTTACTTACAACTAACAACTCCTCTACCTGTCTTGTTGAAAGGTTACTAATTTTGAGTTGAACAAGCATTCAGATTGATTGGCTCTTCCTACAGCTGCCCTTGAGCCTCATGCCTTGTTTGTCTTACGACTGCTGTCAGTGTCTTCTCTGTTACTGTATAAAGTGCCCCCACAAATAAGTAAACAGACCTCACAAGATGATGGAATGACAGTGCTGTCAAGTGCACGAAGTAAACTGAAGGCTGTAAATGGACTTCATGGTAAATATGGGTTCTGACCAATGACGTGGAGTTCTGTTAGTATTAACAGTGCATTTTCTTGCAGCTCAACAAAATAGTGTAGCCTAAAACATGCTAATTCAGGCAGGCCGATGATGCCTAAAATGAGACCATGTTGAGGAGAGCCACCATGTCGAGCAATCTCCAGAAAGGACTTGAGGTACCAAACAGTCATTAGATAAAACTACATTAACTCTCTGTGGCTAACTTTGTCCTAGAGCGCCCTGGTTTCATGGACTTCAAAGGCAAAGCGAAATGGGATGCCTGGAACGAATTAAAAGGTAAACATTGAATACGGATGACATGAAAACAGTAGGATTGGTTACAAAACTCAATACACTTGCTACTTAATGAGCGAGTCTTCCATGACTACATGTCAGACAACCTGAGCCAGCCAGTAGCAATTCCTAATTAACTTGCTGTATGGTCTGTGATTTAATGGCTAGCTACCATAGTAGGGCAGAAGAACTAACATTTAAACTGCAGAGCCACAGTGGGGGCAGTGCCTTCCCTTATTGGCTAATCATGTAGTAGATACAATTTGTCCTGAGGTTAAATAAACTTGTTGCAAAGCAAGGAATTAATCTTGGAGTGCAAAGTGCCAGGCTAGCGCCAACTTTTGAACCATTCTCCTCCCTCCCTCATTAATACTATTGATGCAAGTACATGGGACAAAGTAACTGAATTATAATCAAGGAGGATTGTCTCTAGTGTCTCAGTTTACCTCATGGCTTCCTAGATTCTAGAATATCTAGGTACATTGCTACCTGAGCTGGGGGGGACTAGAGTGCAAACCGTTTTGCTAAGCCACCCTCTGATAACAGTGGAGGGTATTGCTGTTATCTATACTAGGGATGTAAGTGTAGCAGTGTAAAGAGTTAACTGCGTATGGGTTAACCAAACAGTTACAAGTGGCTCCCAGTCCAGCTCCCAGGGATGCATGAGGCAGTAGCCAGCTCCCAGGGATGCATGGCGGCAGGTGGGAACCAGTACCCACTAGGAGCCGGCTTAAAACAAGAAGCTAACTTGGCATTAAAATTCCTTTTAGATATAGTAAGCTGGCTTGTAACTAGACAAAGCTGCATACTTTGTAGAAGTACTTTCTTTTAAGGAATCCTGCAAATAATGCAGGTTCCATCTCTAATTTGGTGTCACATGTGATCTGTTCCCTTCTAATCTACCAACTGTCCAACCAAGGGTGTAAACCTCTAGCTTTTTGCACTTGTAGAAGTGAGTTTTCAGTATAGCCTGTCCTGTAGCTGCATTGTTCTTTCAGGCTACAGTTTTAATCCCACCCCCTCCCCTTGTTAAAATCCTGTCACCAGGTAGCAGTCCAAAGAGGCTTCTCAGGAAACAGGCCAGCCTATACTTTCTGTGGTGCAAGGAAATTATAGCTGAGGTTGCTTGAAGTCCTCCTGTTGGGAAAGCAAGTAGCAACTCCATGTCTATCACTGGGGGGGATGGCAGAGAGAACTGCTCCTGGGAAAAGGGCAGGGTACAAGATGGGTGATCCTCAAGCTGTCGTAGGGTTCAGCTCATGATGTGCAGGAGTTACCCCATCATAGTTTTGCCTATAGTGCTTACCTAATGGAGATTAGCTGGATCAATGGTGTTCAACTTTTTTCATTTGCAGACCCTTATATTCGAAATGGAGGCTTGGACCCCTATAGAAATCTTAAACATAGTCTGGACCCCCAAAGATCTGCAGACCACAGATAGCTGATCTAATGCAGCAGTTTTCTAACAGTAGCACTCCAATGTTGTAAAGATTTAGGCTGCTGCTAAATAGCCAACCAGCTGAGCATAAGTTACAGGTTAGAGCACAAGCGCTGGACAAACAAATGATTCCTTAGGAGTAATTGCAGTTATTTAAGGTGAATGGCTCACTTCATTCAATGAAGGTACTATAGCCTGTGAGTTAGAATGCCTCCCCTAAAATCATGATGCTACGGCATGCTCAGAATTTTTCAAGTGAGTTCTTGTTACTCTACTGCAGTATGAGGCTTACTCACTAGCCCTTTTAATGTCCGTTGATACAAAGTGACTGGCACTGAGATGATTTCCTGAAGCAACCATTTGTCCTTGCTGCTTTAAAGTGGTTTTGGAGTGTAACAGACTACTAGACAAATTAAGGCAAACCTTGATTGCTTAAGTGTAACAAGTGATTATTACAAGTACTCTCTAGGGAAAATAGCTAGAATACTTTAGTCTTCATCTACTTTAGTCTTCATGAACTGGGCTTGTTTAGTTTGGGACATGATAGCGGTTTTCAAATATCTAAAAGGGTGTCACAAGGAGGAAGGAGAAAATTTGTTCCTCTTGGTTTCTGAGGACAGGACAAGAAGTAATGGGCTTAAAGTGCAGCAGGGGAGGTTTAGATTGGACATGAGGAAAAAATTCCTAACTGTCAGGGTGGTCAAATATTGGAATAAATTGCCAAGGGAGGTGGTGGAATCTCCCTCTCTGGAGATATTTAAGAACAGGTTAGATAGACATGTGTCAGGGATGGTGTAGACAGAACTTAGTCCTGCCTTGAGGGTGGAGGGCTGGACTCGATGACCTCTTGAGGTCCCTTCCAGTCCTATGATTCTATCTAATGCATATCTCCTGATTTCAGGAATGTCCAAAGAAGAGGCAATGAAAGCTTACATAGCAAAAGTGGAAGAATTAAAGAGCAAATATGGCATCTAAGAACTGAGTCCACTCATCACTTGCACTGGAATATGCCTTACTGGTAGTAGTGGATGTGTAGTGCACTGCAGTTTGAGTTTGTCAGTTCAGATTAAACTGTTGTCTTAACTAGCTGATCAGGTATAAATGTACACCTAAATAACTGGATACCTTTACACTAAATGATTAAAGTACACTTGTTACTCATGTCTTTTGTGGCCTTTTAATCCAGGATTTGACTACATTAGCTAATCTTCACTTTATAACTGTTAGGGACAAACCTTTGCCAAAAGACTAGCTATGATGAAACACAAGTTTCCTGCATGTCCTGTTTGCTGTAGCTTAGCTGCTTTTAGTTTTGAGATCTTTCACACCTGTCCTGCCCACTAGAGGGCCCCAGTAACCTTTCACAATTGAATAGCAAAATTTAAACAGTGAGGGTATGTCTACATTACCCCCCTAGTTCGAACTAGGGGGGTAATGTAGACATACCCTCACTGTTTAAATTTTGCTATTCAATTGTGAAAGGTTACTGGGGCCCTCTAGTGGGCAGGACAGGTGTGAAAGATCTCAAAACTAAAAGCAGCTAAGCTACAGCAAACAGGACATGCAGGAAACTTGTGTTTCATCATAGCTAGTCTTTTGGCAAAGGTTTGTCCCTAACAGTTATAAAGTGAAGATTAGCTAATGTAGTCAAATCCTGGATTAAAAGGCCACAAAAGACATGAGTAACAAGTGTACTTTAATCATTTAGTGTAAAGGTATCCAGTTATTTAGGCCATAATTACACTAGAGATAGTAGAGACATAATGGATAACTAAGTTATCCAAGGCTAGTGTACCACAACAATCTGTGGCAAACTGACTAATTTAAGACTATCAATATTATTACAGTGTAGCAGGATTCTTGCTTGTCTGGTTCTCTAGACCAACAGTTCCCAGCCACCAGTCAGCAAACCACCACCAGCCAGGACACTGCACCCTGCCCAAGCACAGGCATGGGTGTCACTCTGGGACCCAGGAGCAGGCAAGGAGGAAGTGATCACTGAGATGGAGAGGAGGCTGCTATGGGCTCCTGGAGCCTGGGCTGCAGCCAAGAGGAGGAATCTCCAGCAGGGCCTGTCCCAGGGCAGCATCCCCAGCCTAGCCCGTACCCCAGGGAGACAGTGCTTGGGGGGAGGAGGGGAGGAGACCCTCCCTTTCTCCCCCTGGGAATGGGGCCTTGTGTACCCTGAGCTACAGGGGAGATTTTGGCCCGGGGCTGCTCCCAGCAGAGCTGTCTGATTGCTGTCTAGGGCCCAGGGAAGCTGCTGCTAGCATGGGCAGGGGGGAATTGGGGGG